ACGGTAATGTTCATGTTGACCCTATGCTGGTGATGGTGGGGAAGAGGACTCTCTCACTTAGGGACAGGTGGCAGGTGGGCCAGGCTGACCGCCCCTCTGTGCCTTTGCAATAGGTGTCACTCCCTGCCTGGCCTCGTCCAGAGTGTAAGGACGGGACAATCCAGTCGGGGAAGGAGGCCAGTCCTGCCTCCCTGCGCTTGAGCCCCATCTCCTGGGACAACGCGCTGTCCTCTGTACATGTTCCCTTGTCTGTGTGTGTGTGTGTGTGTGTGTGTGTGTGTGTGTGTGTGTGTGCACACGTGTACCTGGGGCCGGGGGCAGGTGTGCGTGGCCATCTCTGGGTGATGCATGGGCTGCCCTTGGCCCCGGTGACTCGCAATTGGCCTGCCTGGAAGTGAGGAGGGCATCAGTCCAGCAGGCACTTCCGCTCCTCGAAGGATCCACACTGTCCCCTCCAGCAGGGTTCTCAGACAGGCTCTGGACACAGCTTAAGCTTGCTGGTGGGGACCCTGAGGCAACTCACTCGGAGTTGCCCTCTCTGCAGGCTGGGAATGGAATGCCCTCCACCTGGCCTGGTTCCCCTGGAATAGCACCTCTGGCAGGGACCCTTGGCTTCAGCCGCCTTGTCCTTCCCTGTCCCCTCTGAATCCACTTGCCTTTCTTCCCACACACCCGACAGTCGCTCCACCCAGGGGCAGGTATCGGGAGCATGGACACTCAGCAGGTGAGGTGGATTCAGACCCTGTCCGGGAGGTCCTCATGTCCATTAGGGAGTTGGCCACCAGGCAGACAGGTGGTCAAGCTGTGAATGGAGCCACTAAATAGTGCAGGCTTTTGGGAGGAAGGGCGGGAGGGGAGTAGAGGGGAAGCGGAGAGGGAAGGGGAGAGGGGAGGAGAGGGGAAGTGGAGAGGGAAGGGGAAACTGTTCTCAGTAGAGGGAGCAGCATGGGGGCCGGGGGTCTCCACAGCTGGGGGGAGTTGGCGAATGGCTGGTGAACACAAGGTGCCCAGGGCCCGACGTGCTGCCCTGGAGGCCCTGCTCCTGTCTCCTCCAGCCTGCGGGAGGTGGCTGGTGATTTCCCGAGGGATGTGGGGGACCGAGTCCCCGGAGGACCTTTCCTTGACCCCAGAGCAGAGCTCTGGGTAGGTCTGGTCAGTGTCCTCTCTGAGCAGGGACAAGGACCCCACTCCCAGCCATGGAAAACAGGCTGGGCATCCCCCTCTCCTCCCCAGGAGACTCGCTGCCCACCCAGGCTGGCCTGCATCCCGCCAAGCGGTTCCCAGGGGGACTCATGGAAGAGGCCTGGCAGATGGCAGGGAGAGAGGAGGCTCCTTTGGGCCTGGTCCCCCCCACCGCCGCACTTGCCAGGATTGCAGCTTCACAGGGGCCTGATGGTGGCTTTCTGGAGACCAACTCTCCCACTCACACCTGGAGGCAGGTGGCCACACATAGGCCAGGAGGCCACCTCAAGGTCGCTCAAGGAGGCTGCCGTGAGGCCTTCACCCCTCTCCTCCTTGTGCTGGGAAACTGAGGCAAAACTCAGCCCTCTCAACCTGTCCACTGCCTGTGCTCTGGCCTGGCCACCACTATCTGTCACATGGATGGCAGTGCTTCCAGGTGGGTCCTGGGCCCCTGGTGCCACATCCCTCACCACCTGCCCTCCGCCCAGTGGCCGCACTGACAAGCTAACACACTCGCCTGCCCCTCCGCCACCACCCCTCTCCTCCCGGGGCCCCTCCACTCTGCCCACCAAGGGTCTGCAGTCTTCTGAGTCAGTTCCCCATCAGGCCTCTGCCCAGCCCAGCCCCCGAAGCTGGCTGTGCCCCAGGAAACTTTTCCCTCCACTGCCCCAGCCTTCAGGCTTGAGGATAACTGTCAGGCTTTGAGGATAACTGTCAGCAGCCACCTCCCTCCAGGTGGAGCATGCTGAGGCAGCCGCCAGGCAGAGGGAGAAAGGGCTGAATGAAAGGCCCAGCTGAGTCGGTGGCCCAGGGTCCCCGTGGGGGTGGGGTGGGCTGAGAGGGCCTAGGGAGCGAGTGCCATGTGGGATCCTCCCCAGTACACACCTGGCACCTGCCCTCGCTGGGCTCGCCCTGTCCACCTCCAGCCCCCACCCAAGCCTGTCCACACCCCCGCCCATGGCCCCACTCCCGGCATTAATCCCTCATTGCTGACCCAAGCAAAACGCAGTTCGCCTTCTCCCCTCTCGGCAGTTTTTTGTTGGCAAAGCAAAAAGGACTGCAGTGCACACTCGCCCGACCTCCCGCGGGGGGGCACTCTGAAATGAAGTGTCCCCTCGTGGGCAGGGGTACCTGGGCAGGGGGCCAGGGCGTCATGGCTCAGACGTCCCTGCACACACAGCTCCCATGAGTGACCAGCCCTGCCCTCTTCCATGTCCTCTGTGGGCCCTGGGGACACAGCAGTCCCTGAGCCCTCCCTTGCCCGCACGGGTGGGAACTGTCCACAGGTATTCATGGCGCTCATGGACAAGCTGGAGCAGCCCCTGCTAGAGCCTAGGGGCCCGTCTGTGGCACACAGTGACAAATGGTGATGTGGCAAAAGCCCATGACACAGGCGTCCTTGGGCCAGACTAGAGAAGGTGCCAGCCAGGAACGAGTGAGCAGGACCCGTGTGTGAGAATGTGTTCCATGGAAGTGGCGGGTAGGCACCCATGCAGGCCATGGCCCTCAGGGCAGCTGCTGCCCACTGGGGAAGCGTCAGCCCCAGGCAGCTCTCAGGGCGCAGCCCTGGGAGAGCTCCTGTGCAGCTGGTCCAGCCTGGATGCCCACACAGCACATCCCGGGGCCTCCTGCTCTGCTCCCAGCCTGGGCAGGGCAGAACCGACCCTGGCCCCTGAGCTGCTGCCTGCTGAGGGGGCTTATGGCGGGACTCACCCACAGGTACCACCCTGGGGGGGTACAGCATTGACCCCATGTCGGGGCATAGGCCATGACTGGCTGCTGGGTCAAAGCTGAGGGTTCTGCCAGGCCTGGAGTCATGCCCTTGGCTGGTCCCTGAGGCCTCCTGGAGCCGGCCGGCGACTCCACCCACTGCCGATTCAGCTGTCTGGGTGGACTTGGGAGGGCCTGGGAGGCTGGACAGGGCAATCCATCCCTGAGCACCCAGGAGGCAGGTGCCAGCTGCTGCGGTGTGAGGACAGGGTGGCGGCCCCCTCCCACAGCCGGGCGGCTCTCCAGCAGGCCCTTGCAGTGGCCAGAGCTGTGCAGGCCAGGCCCAAGGAGCTCAGGAGGGTCTCAGCAGCTACTTTCCCTTAGGAAAGGAGCCCCTGCTGCCCTAGGAGGGCATGGCAGGCTCTCTCCACTGCTCGGCCTTGCCTGGCCCAGAACTCCCCAGAGGCCCCCGACCCCACGAGCTCCCCCCTGGACCTCAGGAACCCACCACTGACAGCTCTTGAAAACCCATCTTCCTCAGTACCCTTGGGAGAGCTTGGCGGTGAACCCCACTTCACAGCAACCAGGAGCCTGGCCCCAGCTGTGTCCAACTCCAGCTGTGAGGAGCCTCCCCCATAGCAGAGGGGCAGGGGACACGATGGCCTGAGAGGTGGGGGGCATGGCCGGCAGGGGCCAGGAGCAAAGGCCAGGCTTGGTCAGAGACCAGGAGAGGGGCCTGCGGAGCAGGGCAGGGGGGCACCCAGGCTGTCCACCCCGGGGAGGGCTGTGCTCTTGGGGGGAAAGCCTCCTCCCTGCTAGCCTGTGGTGGCCCAGAGCTGGTCAGTGCAGTAGGCAGGTGGCAGCTCCTGTCCCCTCCTACCCCTCCCCATCTAGACAGGTCGAGGAGGCAGGGAGTCACCAAGCCCTCCTCGACAGGGCCTGCCACCCTGTCATCTCTGATTAGCAAGTAATAACCTCTTTGACGTATAGTTTTATTAATCAAATTAATAAGTGTTGAGCAGACCTGTGTGACCTTGGCCGTTCTGCTGAGACGGGATTCTCCCAAGGAGGAGGGAAGCACCTGGGCTGCCCCCCGCTTAGGCAGGCCTTTCCCCTGACCACCCCCATGGCCCGCACTCACACACCCCTGCCCCCAAACCAGTACTAATGCAGAAGCACGCAGGTGACAGGTGCGGGACCCTGGACCCAGAGCTCTGATGCAGAGCAGGCTGCTCCCACCTGGGGATCCTTGGAAGGGACTGGATGAGAGGGTGGGGGTCTCAGACTGCAAGGGGGGCTGCTTGCTTTCCTGGGCGCGCTGCCCGCCCTTCCCCAAACCCGCACCTGCCTGAAGAACCACCTCTTGCCTGCTGAGCGGGTAGCGGCTGCCCCCTGGTGGCCACTGGGGGCGACTCCTGGCCAGCCCTGTCCCCGTCCTGGGCTGCGGGGGGGCCCTGGGGCCCTCAGGGGAGAGCCCTCCCATGACTTCTCCTGGGTGCAGCTCGGGTCTGCGCACACGGCCCTTGTCAGCACCCCCTGGAGCTCAGGTCTTCAGCTCACCCCTCTGGGGACCTGGAGCAGGGCAGGAAGGGAGGCCTGGAGGTGGGCAGCGGTGAGCCCGTCCAGCTAGAATGGTGGGAGCTTGACTCCATCCACGGCTGAGACTGGAGGGTCGATGCCCAGGGCAGCAGCAGGGTGGACAGGACCCTGAAGGGTGGTCAGGGGATGGCCCAGCCGAGGGATCCTGCGGCAAGCGCAGCATCAGCCCTGGCTCCCCAGGACAGCACCTTCGGACTCTGCAGGCCGAGACTGTGCTAAGCCCCCTCAGCCCACCCCTTGCTGCCCCAGATGGTGACGTGGGGTGTGTGAGGACTGCCCAGAGGGGACTGGGATGCTCCTGTGTGGGTGAAGTGGTCACAGCCCCCAGCACTGGGCCCAGACCCCCCTCTTCTGCTCCTGGTCTTTAAGGGGTAGGCAGGCACACCCATGCAGCCTCAGGCACTGGGTGGGCAGGCACCGCCTGAAGGTCCTCTGGGGCGGGGAGGGCATGACGGCTGCTCCCGGACAGCTGGAGCCTGTACCGGGCAAGGTGTGCAAGGAGCGGCCCCTCACGGCCACCCTGGGCTCTCAGAGGGTGAGGGCAGTGCCTGTGGGTCAGGGGCAGTCGCAGCAGGCCCCGCTGGGGCACAGGGCTGGGCACTGTCTCGAGTCCTGTCCTGCTTCGCCTTGCGGCTCCATCCGAGGAGGGGCCGGGGGCTGGCCCGAGCCGGTGCTGGCGTCTTACAACCTCGCTCCCTCTGGCTCCTCAGAAGTCCCCCGGGGCCCAGCAGGGCTGGCCGGCGATCCCCCTGCAGCTAAGACAGACAGACTATGGTCAGCTCCTGCTGGCCTGCCCCTGCCTGTGGCCCATCTGGGAGATGGCTGGCTTGTTGGGGGCCTGTCTGGGGGCTCCTGTCAGGGCAGCATGCAGCTGGGGCTGCACGGGTTTTCACAGAATCCCGTGTAAGCCATGCTGGGTGGTGAACCTCTGGGATGGAGCCTGTGGCCTGGAGACCTCAAGTCTGGGGACACAGAGGCCCACTGAGGAGTGGGTGGGGATTTCTCAGCTGCAACAGTAGTCCACAGGTGGAGGCAGCCACATAGGTGGCCACTGCCTATAAGGCCACCCCCAAGGAGGGTGAGCCCCAGCCGCCTTTTACCAAAGTCTCTGGAGCACCCAGGGCAAGGCCAAGGGCCAGGGTGGGCCAAGGAGGTTGAGGACTACCCTGCCAGGGACCCAGCGGCTCACCGCGCCAGGTGGCCCCGAGCTGGGCAGCAGCGACACCACCTGCAGGCTCACTCCTGCCTCTCCCACACCCTTCAGCTGGGCCACCACCTCCGTGTGCTTCCACCACTTGCACGGCTGCCCGTTCACCGACACAATGTAGTCACCCTCCTTCAGTCCGGCCGCCTGAGGGGAGCATGGATGGTAAGGTGGGGACAATATGGCTGGTGGCCCAGGGGCTTGGGCTTATGGGCTGGCAGGGCCCTTACCGCAGCCTGGCCCCCTGGAATGACAGCGGCAATGAGGACGGGGGAGTCTCCCCGAAGCGTGAAGCCGAAGCCACTCTCTCCTCGGGTCACATGGACAGGCCCCACCAGTCGCCACCGGTTCTTGGCTGAGAACACCGACAGGGGCCCCTGAGGGAGTCAGAGGTCAGAGACCTGGCTGGGCCACAGTTGGAAGAGCCTAGGTCTGTCCAGCACCCCCACCCAACCCGTACTTCCCAGGGCGGGAACCAGCATGGTTGCCATGGAGGCCATGCAGGGCTACACCACCACAGAGGGCTTGAAAACGCAGTGCAGAGCCAGCGGCCCAAGCCTGCTGGGAGGGGCGGCCTGGGAGAGGTGCTGGCTGGCTGGGGGGTGCTCACCAGCCGGTGGAAGATGTCAGCCACCTTCACCTGGGACAGGCAGGGCGTCCTGGCCTCTGGTTTATGGTGGGTCTTAGCTGAAAGTGGGGGGGAGGAGGGGTAGCACTAAGCCGAGGCTCGCTGGACTAGACCCAGCCAGACTGCAGTGAGGGCAGCCTGCCTGCACACCAGCTCTTCCTTGGACCTCCAGGCCTGGCTGCCCCCAGTGGTGGGAGGAGCTGCCCCAGGTCCCCTGAACACATGTCCTCCCACTTGCCCCAGGTGGCTCTCAGAGCCCTCCCTGAAGTCCCAGCTGTGCCTGTCCCTGGTCTGCAGGGGGTCCAGTGTGGGGAGGGAGGCCACTGAGGAATGGAAGAGCCTGCGGGGTCTTCCTCCAGGCGCCCGGCTGGCCTGACGGCTCCTGGACCTTGAGATCCCAGCCGTTGAAAGTGCAGCTGCTCTTTTTATTAATCATGGGCACTGCTCCTTTAACAGCAGCTGCAGGGTCTCAGCCCATCTCCCACCCTCTGCCAGGACCCAGTTCCCACCCCGTCCTGGCCCTGGCTGCTCACGCTGGATATCAGGGGCCTCAGCAGCCTCGCAGAAGTCATCCTCACGGTCAAGCTCCGAGTACCTGGCCAGCGAGCGCCGCAGCGCCTGGGCCACCACAGCCTGCAGCAGGTCCACCTCGCGCAGGACGCGGCACACGGCGTGCAGCCGTAGCGCCTCCTCCTGCCCTAGGATGGCACGTTTCAGGTGGGCCTTGCCTGCAGGTGGGGCACAGTGCCGTCACAACGCGAGGGCCTCCAGGGCACCCAGCCCAGTCAGCCATTCCAGGATGAGTCCCAGCTCCCCCACCCAAGGGTGCAGCATGAGGGGTGGGTAAGGCCAGGGTTTCCAGGTTCATCCTGAGAGTCTGCAGCCATGGCCAAGAGCAGGGTGTGGCTACTGGGGCAGACAAGGGGCAGGCTGGTCCAGGAGGGCTCTGCCAGGGGCAGGGAGAGCTGTCTCGCAAGTGTGCCCACCAGGTGTGCCCACCTGCCCAGAGGCTGCCCAGTGCTCCTGGGGCCCCTGCTCTCGGCGATCACTCATCTGGCTAGGGGACAGTTCAGTGGCCCCACCCACCGGGACTGGGACACTAGGTGCTAGATGAGGCAAGTGACAGCAGGGGCACCCTGTGCACCTGGCCTGCCACTGAGCCCAGCACCCTCTGTCCGTGGATGCCTCACCAAGTCTCCTGCACTCCTCGGGCTCCTGTGACAGTGCGAGTCCTTGGGGTGCGCAGTCCAGGGGCTGGAGGAAGACCTGCTCATGCGTGGGAAGCTCTCCCTTGGCCACCACTGGGGATCAGAGGGGCTGTGAGCCCCAGCGCTGGGGCCTCTGCAGCACACATGGGGCATGTGGGGTGGGGGCACTCACTGGAGCCATCACAGAGGGCTACGGCTGCGTGGTAGTGGGCCAGGGAGCGGAAGAACTCGGCCTTGACGCACACCAGGGCATTCCAGGAGACGGGCACGTAGTCACAGACGGGCGGCTGGGCCATGGTCTGGTGCACGAGCCTGTACTCGGCTGCCACCTGCCGTGGACACAGCAAGTACTCTGGGCCTCCCACTCTCCTCCTGGAGGTTCCATGGGACACAAGGGACGAGGCCAGCCTCGCCCTCCAGCCAGCCTAACCCCTGGGCCTTGCCTCCATCTACCCTGACCATGTCCCAGGAGTGTCACCTACGCTGAGCTCAGGGGTTAGAGCCTGCTCCAATTCACACGGTGCCCCAGAGGAAGGGGCTCAGGACCCCACAGGGACCAGGATGCAGCTGGCTTTGGAGCTGACACACAGAGGAGGCGGACACCCCAGCGCTGCCTTCCCCGGGCTGACCCCAGCTCTGCCCTCACCCCCAACCCCGGTGCCCTGACTCCAGCTCCTGCCCACTGCCCACTGCTGCTTGGCCACGCTGTCCAGGGATCCAGGCAGGGTGCCCTGAACTTACCTGGGCAGCCTCTTGAGCCAGATGCAGCTGGGCAGGGCCGTCGCTGGGGGCCGCGGGGGCAGGCAGCGAGAGGCCCTCGAAGACGCACTCCTGGGCCTGGGCAGCCATGAGCCGCTCCAGTGCGCAGAGCAAGGCAGCGCTCATGTCCGGGCTCGGCGCATGGGAGAAGTTCTCCCTCAGGAGGCTGAAGGTCCCTGCAGAGGGAGCGGGTGCTTGAGGGGGCAGTTCTGGTCCCACACAGCACCAAGGGAGGGCCCCTGCATGCTTAGCCCCTCACACTGGGGGGACATCCTAACAGCCTCCCAGTTCCTGCCCCAAAGAAGGGGCCCTGCAACACCCTGCCCCCATGGTAAGGTGGGCCCCGCTGTGGGTCCAGGCTACCCTCACCAGCAGCCCTCTGGAAGGCCTCGATGGCGCGGCTGTTGCCCTCGGCGCAGGAGCGGTCCTGGCGTGCCCCGATCTGCGTGTGGAGGGCACCAATGTTGAAGAGCACGCTGCCCTTCTCGAAGGCCAGGGTGCGCTGCTGGGCCGGGACCCCCGTGAGCGAGTCGTACCTGTGGGGTGGGTCAGGCTGGCGGAGCTCCCACGAAGCCCGGCCACCCCACCCAGGGCACCCCACCTGCCAAGCCTCCTACCAGTGGAAGAAGAGCCCCAGGCTCCTGGCGGGGGTGAGGAAGCGTGCGTCCAGGAAGCAGAGCTGGTTGTAGTAGGCTGCCAGCAGCTCCAGGCCCGCCTCGTTCCGGCTGGGGTTCCGCATGGCCTGCAGGGCAGGAGCCACTGGGCCCACCACCCTGGCCCATCCCACTCACATGCACCCTTGAGAGGCCCCTTGAGCACCAGCCCGTGGGAGTTGGGGGGGTAAGGGGAAGGCAGTGTGGGGGAGGGGCAGGCAAGGCCCTGGGGAGCTGCCATTCCTAAAGGCCAGCAGTGTGTGGCATGAACAGAGCCACCTGTGAGTCCCTCCTTGCATACTGGGAGGATGTGCACATAAGGGAATCCTGGGGGTGTTTGTCTCCCCGATGTCCTCCGGCTTCCCTGAGATACGGGGAATCCTGCCATGTCAGTGTCTACACTAAGCTCCATCTCACCCTCAAAGTTCCTGACTCAAGCCTCAGCCTCCTCCTCTGTTTCCAGGGCTGCAGTAGGGGAGGAGCCCACATACCTGCCGCAGGGCCTCCAGCTCCCTGATCTCTGCCTCGTAGGAGGCGCTGTCCTCTCCAAAGTGCCCCGAGATCACCTCCTGGTGGGGGCGGGGACAGATGTTGGCCACCCCTGTGCCTGGCCACCTTCCCTGGGGTCCCCCAGCCCGCTGTTGGGGGAGACCCATAGTGGAGAGTAGGGTTCATGCCATGGGACAGGCTGGCTGCAGTGGCTGCAGGGGTCAGAGGGGCTGCCCAGAGGCTGTCCTCAAGGGCCTCTTGCTGTGGCCCTCCAGGCCCCCCTTGGCAGAAGCCCCAGAGAAGGGCTGCAGGCCTGTGTGGATGGAGGGCCAGGTGGGCCCTGGGGCTGAGTATTGACGGTGGTCCTGCCCCTCTGGCCCTGGCATTCCCCTAGCCCCCATCCCCACCACAGAAGTGGGGCCAGGAAACTCATTGGTGCTGTTTTTATGCATATTCCCTTATTAATCCCCATGGCAGCCCCAAGAGGCAGGTGCCATCCTCTACCTGACAGGCACAGTGCAGGTCGCTTTCCCATGGGCCCTGTTCTCGGGCCTGAGTCCTCTCCAGGACACTAGTGAGCCAGCAGTGGACAGAGGCCCCAAGTCAGCAGGACCCTCACTAGCAGGACAGCCCAGGACCCTGTGGCCATCCTGGGGCTCCCTGCAGGACAACCAAGCCCCATTAGGTGTCCTAGAACAGGGCATGTGTCCAAACCCACCCACTCAGATCACCCTACAGCTGGGGCGTGGGCCCCAGTGCAGGCCGTGGACACAGCAGGAGGCTTGGCCAAGAGCAGGATATTCTTGTCAGGTCCCTGGGAACCCCCAGGTCAGCCTTTCCTCCTCCTGGGACTCGGTTTCCTCATCTGTCCCTCAGAGCCCACAGGCCAGGACTTACCTTCAGGGGTGTGGCCCAGTCCAGCTCCTTGGTCTCCTTCAGACCCAGGGGGATCATGGGGGCAGCAACACCTTCGCTACAACCAGAAGAACCAACCGCAAATGCTCAGGCTGGGCCCCGCCCCCATCCAGAGCGCCTGGACTCTACCCCACGGCTCCTGCCATGCGGATGCATTGCCTGCCCTAGTGAATGCCCGAGTGTGCATGCATCCCAGTGGCGTCCTTGTTCAAACACACGTGCACCGTCCTAAATCATCCCTTGTACACCCACACCCACGCACGCACCTCCCATGCCGGCACGTTTCCACGCTGCCATCAAGCTGCTCCAGCTCCTCCTTCAGCAGCTGCAGGTTGGCGTTGACATAGCTCAGCTCCAGGGCAACTGTCTCCCTGACCCGGTGGTTGCTGGTGGCTCTGGGGGAAGCCAGATGAGGTCAGAAGCCCAACCCTGTGGCCACTGTAGCCTTCCCACCCACTGACCTGTCGGTGCTCCAGAGCCCACTCCCCAGAGGGACAGGCACTGACAGGGCAGCCTGACGGTGAGGCAGGAGCAGCAGCAGGATCGAAGGCCACAAGGCGCCCTCTCTTACAGTTCGGCACCCTGACCCCTCAGCAGTGCAGACCCTGACTGGGGCCTAGGGCACTTCCCTCAGAGCTAGGGCTTCCTTCCAGGCTCACACTTGCCCCCCCAGCACCAGGGGTCTGGCAGAGGGACCGGGGGTCCCTGAGGAAGGCTGGGCTGGGGGCAGGGAGGCAGAAGTCACTATGGGAGAGTCCCCTGTCCTGGAGCTAACAGCCATGGCTCAGACAGTTGGGGTCAGCTCCCTGGGCCCAGGCCCTTGCACACGCACAGCTCAAAGTTCACATGCTCTATAGAAGAGGCTGCCCCTAGGCCTGGAAGATCCTTTCCCAGGCCCTCAACCCTGGGATGTCCAGCCACCTGTCACAACTCTGCGTCCACAGTGCCTCTTCTGAGAAGTGCCCGCTGGCCACCACATACACTGTTGGAGGCTCCCAAATTCTGCACACTGGGGGGACACCAGTTCCCTGGCACCTCAGGGAAGATCACAGAGACCACATGCTCACAGGGTAGACACTGGTGGGCTATGTGGCCCTATCACCACCCTCCAGAGGTGGGCGATGCTGCTCCAGCCAGGGCAGTGGCAGGTGCTCACCTGTACAGGTTCTCAGCGCCTGTCCGCATCTGCAGCTCCTTGCTGATCTGCTGGTAGATCCGGGCCCTGCGGCTTTGCAGCCCGCCATGCTGCGTCTGCATCAGGGGGTCACAGCCCTGTGGGGAGGCCGCAGGTGATCACAGCCCTGACTCCTTGGAGCCACCAGAGGCCATGCCTCTGCCAGCTGGTTCAGAGGAGCACAGCCCACCCTTGGGGAAGAGGGTTGATGTCCAGCATCAACCATGCTGTGAGTGTTGATTTCACTGCTTATGTCTTCTTAAATAGCATACAACATGGCAGGTGGGTTAAATTTTCCTTTGGTGCAACGCAGATTTGTGCCTCAGCCCACCCCTCACCCTTGTGGCAGGTTGGGGTCTTGTCCACATGATGCTCACATGCTCCCCTCAACCAGGGCCCCCCTCTGCACTCTCCCCGATGGTCACACAGGAGTCCCTGGCTCTTCTCCATCCTGCAGGATGCTGTTGGAAACACCCGAGAAGGTTCTCTGTAGCCAAGTGTGGCTGTGCCTTGGGCAGGCTCCCAGGTGTGGGCTGGCCAGCCTCTCTGATGTCCACCTCTTCTGTGCTGTGAGAACCCTGGTCTTGTTCAGGACTCATGCTCAGGGACAGTGACCGCCACCCCAGCTTGGGGATGAACACTTTTGACTCTGAGTCAGGCGTGGCAACTCTGGTCCCTGCTGACAGGTGACCAATTTCTGCCCATCAGCTACAAGACCAGGTCTCCTGGGAACAGTTTCCTTGCCCTTTTAAGACAGAAGCAAGAGATAGGCCTCTTCTCTCCCAGAATACTGCTGTGTCTGAAGGTGAATCTTGTGACCATGAAGAGAGCTGACCTAAAACTCAGGCATCACCACATAAGGTAACGGGTTCACGGGAGGACCAACGTCTGCATGACACACCCTCTCTCCACGCACTCGCACCTCTTAGGCTGTTCCGTTTTCTCCATAGGAGCTTGCGCATGTTTTCCTGGCATTTCCCCCTAAATATTCCACACATGGTTCCTTTCGCTACGGTGAATGGGGTCTGCCTCCACTTTTTAATTACTGTTGATCCCTACTGCATGGGAATGATGCGCCTTGTGTACAGCGGGCCTGCCGCCCCACCTGCACACAGTAAGCACGGGGTGACCATCTATGACGGGCTGAACTGTGTCCCCAGAAAGATATGTTCAAGCCATAACCCCCAGGACCTGTGAATGTGGTTTTATTTGGAAATAGGATCTTCGTAGATATAATTAGTTAATAGGAGGTCATCCTGGAGTAGGGTGGGCCCTACTCACATTGACAAGTGGCCTTATCAGAAGAGGGAAATTTGGACACAGCCACACAGAGGAGGCCCTGTGAAGACGGAGGCAGAGATTGGAGTGATGCAGCCACAAGCCAATGAATGTGAGGAGCCACCAGAAGCCGGAAAAGGCAGGAAGGAGCCTCTTCTGGAGACTTCGGAGGGAGTATGGCCCTGCCTTGATTGGCTTCTGGCTTCCAGAACTGTGAGAACAAGTTTCTGCTGTGTCAAGGCACCCAGTTTGCAGTCACCTGCTACAGCAGCCTCAGGGCACTCACGCATTGTCCACTGGACGCTCCCACTGCCAAGTGCTGGGCTGAGGGAGCCTGACCCCGGGGGGAACGCATCCCCAAGTTGAGGGATGAGCCAGTACTTATTAGATGGGGGGACATAGGCACTGGAGGGCCAAAATGCATAGAGGCAGGAGACAGGGCTGGGAGGAAGGTGGGCAGGCTGGCCCAGGATCTCGTCCCCTGCAGCCCTGGCCCTGTGGATGCCATGAAGCTGGGGTCAGGCCAGATTTGCATTTGGAGACCCTCACCCTGTTCTAGCTTCCCACCCCTGCCTCCTCCAGAAAAGAAAACCTCCCAGAGCTGTGGCTGGGGCTACAGGAGTTCCCTGTAATGGGGTCTAGGCCAGGGGCTTGGGCTGGGAGGTGGCAAGAGGCCCCCAAGTGGGAGCGAGGCGGGGGCAGCTCGGATTGAGAACCTCTTCCTGCCTGAGGCCCACCCACCCTGGCCTCCCACCCTGACCTTCTGCACCAGCCCCCACCTCCAGTGCCTCTGCCCTGCACCTCAGAGATGCTGGGGCAGCACTCAGGCCAGGCTCATCTCAGCATCTTGGATGGCCCTGCAGTGGCCCCACCCCAGGGTGAAGAATTCAAGGCTCAGCAGGTGGCCTGGCCTTGGCCAAAGCTACCCAGTGAGTCGGGGTCCAGCCCATGGGAACTCAGAGCCCTGCTTGAGTCCACCCCCCTGGCCCAGGAGTCCCAAGGCCTGGACTCTGCCCGTTTCCAGCAGATCAGGTCTGGGCCTTGGGGTACCACTTCCCTTGTCTGGACTTCAGTGGCCCTGAAATAAATGACTCCCCAGCCCCTCTGGTGATGGAGTGGTGGGACTCTGCCAGGAAGGCCTGGTGGCCTTGGGTGGGTTCAGGTGGGATGAGGGTATGCTCTCTGTTCTCCCCTGTGGGCCCGTCTCTTCCATGGGGAAGGTGGAATGTGGGGCTGGGGGCCAGGCTGAGAGCACCCCAATGGTGTCAACCAGGAGCCAGGAACAGGCTGCAGGGCCATGAGAAAGGGGACTCCACCCACAGGAACATAGAGTGACATATACCAGGTCGAAGCTGACACCTCGGGCCTCATCCCTGAAGGATGAGGAGGAGGTGGGGAGAGGGCACTACTTCCCCTCTGCAGCCCTTGACAAAAGTGCGCCTTTCATTGCTTTCGGCCCTTCCCCCCAAACCCAGGCCTCCCTCCAGACAGGCCCCCCAGGCTGGGCCCCCTGTCTCTTGCTGACCCAGCTCTTCTCCCAGAGCCCCCACCTGTGGCCCAGTGCCTCTCCCACAGCCCCTCGCTGCTTCATAGGACCCCGCAGACTCAGGCCCTGGCTGGCTCCTCCCCTACTCACTCTGTCAGCCAGTGGAGCCACCCGTCAGCCAAGGGAGCCACCTGGCTGAGTAGCCTCCCTGGAGCTGCCGAACCATCCACGCCCTCTGCCTGTCCTTGGTCCAGCACCAGCAGACCCCACCACAGCCCACCCTGCTCCCACCAGCTCCCCCACAGCCCACCTTCAAGGCAGTGATTAAGTCCGTGCCAGGAGGACTAACCTGCCCCTGTTGAACCCCACCTCTCACTCTGTGGGGACTCCCCCAGACCATCCATGCTGGGAGTACAACTCACTTCAGAAGCTGGATAGCCTTTCCGACAAGCCCACCCCCAAGGCCTGGCAGCCCTGACCCCCGCCCCCCACAAAGCCCAGGGACCTGGACGGGCCTGGCTCCAGAGCTCTGCCCACAAGGGCCTACAGGTCAGTGTGGCCACAGGCACTGAGTGGCCACAGACACCTGGTGGTTACTCGATGTGGGTCTGTACTGCTCAGGCAGCGGGTGCACAGCATGGCTAGGTGGACGGCAATGCACCGAGTCTGGTGTCCCTCTGCCAGCCCTGGTGGTGGCTGGGTTCCTCCTGACATCTTCCCTCTCTAGCCACGGGCCCAGTCATGACCTGGGGGCTTCTTCCTGGCACCGCAGGGGATGGAGGCACCTCAGTGAGGCTGTGGGCCAGGGCCCGCCCAGTGTCTGGGCACCTGACCATGGACACAGGACAGGATAGGGAGGCAGGGTCTAGCCCACGTGCCTGTCCAGCTTGGCTAGGCTCACAAGCAGCAGGCCAGGGGTCCTACTGCACCCACCTTGTCTCTGAGCTGAGGGCTCCGCCTTGCACATAGTCCGTCCCGCCGGCCAGCCCGTCCCCAGGGCCACAGGCAGGAAAGTGCTGTGTGGACTTCTGGCCACAGCGATGCCACAGACAAGGCTACCAGAAGGCTCCAGCAAGGGTGAGTAAGAGGCTCCGTAGAGGCTGATGGGGAAGCAGGGCAGGGCCATGTAGGCAGGCACAGTGGAGGTCACTGACCACCATTCCCACGAGCCATTTAGGGGCCTCCCCCAATCTGGGCCACTCACCAGCCCAGGAGTTGGTGGGAAGGACTTCTCAGAAAGCAACATCCACGCAGGAGTCACCAACCCCCTGAACAAAGTGAGGACAAGGTCATAGCACCTCCGAGGACCCTGCCCTGCTGGTGTGAGCAGGGGCAGGGTTTTACTGACGCAGAGCTGACACTGGCTATGTATTTGAAAAAGTGTCACTTATTTTCCTGGGTATGCCCCCGTGGTCACACACAGGATAGTTTCAGACTCTCCGGGGCCTCTAGCTTGTCCTAGCCCCTTGTGGGCGGCACCCTAAGAAAGGCCTCACATCTGGAGTGAGGAGCTCCTCGTGCACAGCCACCTTGGATTAGGGCCCAAGATCTGCTTCTGCATGGCCAGCTTCTCAAGAGAGGTCAGTTGATCAGGGAAGACTTCCCATAGGAGGGGGCACTGGGGTTGGGATGTGAAGGGCAGGCGGCCTCCAAGTCGCCCTTGTGTAACTGGGGAGAGGACACTCGCCCCAGCCAAACAATGGGAGGAAGAGCAGTAGACTCAGAGTAAGTCTCCTGGGAGGGGAACCGCCGGCAGCCCCTGATCAGCAGACGGCAGGAGAGGCCGGTCTTGGGTGGCATAAGGAGGGACAAGGGAAAACACAGCCCCCTACTGCCCTGCTGGCTGAGCACCCCTTCCCAGTGGCCTGCTCCTCTTTTCCACGGCACCGTCCACACCTGCCTGTGCAGAAAAGGTGAAGCCGAGGCCCTGGCCTTCTCCCCTCCACGGGACGGGGGGTGTGGTGAGGGAAGGTGAGCCACAGCCAAAACAATACACCCACTTCCTTGCAAAGGTCCCACTGCAAAGCTCCAGCAGGTTCTAAGGGCTCTGGTGAGCAGCCCTGGCCATGGCCCAGGGTCGGTGTGGCCGTGTGCTCGGCAGCAGCCACCCAACCCAGCAGGGCTGCCCTCATCAGATGATGTCCAGTGCTCCCTTCCTCACCTTCCTGGAGAGCTGCTCAGGGTTACTGCAGGCACCAGCCCATGGCCTGGGCGCTCCTAGGCCTCCCTGCCCTTAGCACCTCCTCCAGGAGGCCATACAGCTTCCTGGCCTTCATGGGAAGGTCCAGACCTTTGGGGCTGGGCAGTCCCTGGAAGCTGTGGCTCATTTTCCACACTGGGCTGAGGGATGTGCCAGAGGGTGTGGATCCTGGGTAATCAGTCCCCTACTATATGACCTCCCCCGCCCTCTGGAAACAAAGGTGACCTAGACCCCGCCTTGGACCCTGACATCGCCATGACTATTTCTGCCTGACACTGGGAAAGAGCAAACGTGCTTTGGTCTTTGGGTTCCCGACAGGGACGGCCCACACAGCGGAGGGCCTGGCAGAAAGGGATGGAGAGCAGAGAAACAAACGGCCCCGCCCTGCACACTCTGATAATGGCAGAGGTCTGGTGGCTCCTGCTGCCTGGGGAACGCCCAGGCCCAAAGTCCCCAGAAGCCTGGGAGGAAATGGTGTGGCAGTGGCCAGAACTGGGCTTTCCCCAGGACTCGGAAAAGTGGGAGACGGTCATCCCAGCCCAGCCTGGGAACAGCAAAACCATCAGAGCAGTGCTGGCCCTAAGCCCTTCCCCAGGATCTCCCCCAGCCCTGGGCTCAGTCAGTCCCCAGGGAGAGGCCCCAACCCTGGCAAACCAGCTTCCCCCTTTCAGAGGCCTGGCCCTGGGCACCCTGCCTGCTGATGCCCACCCATCTCAGGGACCCCTCTCCCTTCCCTCCCCAAGGTCTCACCTGAGCACAGAGGAATTGGAAGCCTAGCACCCTAATGACCCACCATCTCTGCCCCCCCAAATGCTATGTGGCATGGCCACAAAGGGGACTCCCAGGACACAGTGGCTACAAGCCACACAAACACTAGATGGACCACAGATTGGCCACCACACCAGCTGAGAGTCAGGGCAGGTGCCCCACGGATCCTGCGTCCTCTGATGTTTGCTTGGACACTGGGGCACTGGTGGTTCCTGAGCACCTGCCTCCCTCTACGGCTTAATTTAACTGGCCCAGGCCTGGTAATCTGTGTTTGTAACAAGCACCTAGAGGGTGCTGGTGTCCAGCCAGGCTGGGGAAGCTCAAACTGACCATCTGGCATGCTGGACACAGGCAAAAGGGGCTAGCCCTCTGCCTGCCATGCTGCTCCAAAGCTTCCCCTCTTGGCCCCTCTCCTGCTTCCCCACAGCCTCCTCAACCCCTTAGCCCCATGATCTCCCCAGGAAACCACGGAACTCAGTCACAGTCACACTTCCCCATACAGCCAGGCTGGGAGCCCCTGCCACCCTAGGGGGAGGGTTGTGGGCAGGGTCACTCCTTAACTTCCCTGCTGGCCAACCTTAGAGTACTCTCAGAACTCAGCCTGTTCTTCAGATGGGTTAGCCAAGGCCCAGGGCCAGCAGGGTGACTCGTGCCAGGCTGGGTGAGGACTCCAGGTAAGCACTCACTGGACGCCAGTTCTCATTGCTCTTGGGGCAAATTCAAGTCACCCAGACTGTTCACAGGGGCCTCAGACCCAAGCACGGCTCTTAAGGGAAGGGCTGACCAGTCCTGCCCTGCTCAACTCCAAGCACTATGGCTGGTTAAGAGGGCCAGCCTGGTGGGGTGGGAGAACTCAGCCTCACTCTAGCCCTGCTGCTGGCATCAGAAAAGGCTGTCTAGGGGGCAGGACAGCCTGAGCTGTGCATGTGTGACTGAGGGCCTGCCTCAGCAGGCTGGGGTCCCACAGCCATCTCCCACAGGCTCCATGCCTGCTCAGGACCCTGACCACAGGATCATCCCTGGACGGTGTGCACGAGAGATGCAGCAGCCCAGAGAGAGCTGGAGACGGTTTCTGCTCCCCCTTCCAGGGCAGCAGCCAACAGAGGGCAAGGAAGAGAGCCTGGCCACAGCCTACAGCCTGAAAAATGTCGTCTACTGGCTCTCTGGAACATCTTGTTTGTGCAGCTCCCAAACATTCCACCCAAACAACACGTGTCCTCTCCAAAGGCCACCTGCAGGCATGGCCACCATTGGAGGGAGTGAGTTCACGGAGGGCAAGGGACAGGCTGCTTCTCTTTCCCCAGGGCCTGCTAGTTGCTGTAGTAACATCTGGCATGCCTGGGGGGTTGGGAAGGAAGAGAGTCCTTGAGGGCTCTGGTCAGCACCACCTGGCCTGTTACTTGCAGCCCAGGGCCCCCTGCTCCCCACTCAGAAGACCTGAGCCCTGACACAAAAGCTGAATAGAACCAGCCAAGGGACAATATGAAGTCTGACATCCGAGAGGGGCAGAGAGCAAAGTGCCAGGGAAGACTCACCTAGGACTAGGAGCAGGAACCACCTCTGCTTAGCAGCTCCCAACTGAGAACTGCTGGGGGGCATGGGCGCCTGGTGCCTGGCATGAACACCGGGGCAGCCCCACATTGACCCTCCAGGAACATCCAGGCTCCAGGTTGCAGAGCAAGGCTGACAAACCATCCCCTCCTTCCCAGGCACAGACTCAACAGATCTCCACACCCCACCCCACCCGTTCTGCTTGCACAGTGCTCCTGGAAATGGTGCCCAGTCAGCTCCCGGGGTGAGGGACTTCAGAGGGGTGGAGGTTCAGGGAAGCGACAAGAAAACAAGCTGCCCAGCCCTGAAGACCTCCAGTGATTCCCTATACCCGGGAGGCTTTAGCTGCCTGCGGTGCTAAAAGTTCCTTCAAATGCGCCTCCGAAGCGGATACAAAGGGAGGGCGAAGCTAGGAAAGGAGGCGTCACAGGTGCCAGACACAAACCCAGGGTGGGGCTGCCAGAGCAGAGCCCACACCTGCCGGAGCCAGTGCTTCTAGCTTCAGGGAAGATGATGACCCGGACTTTGGCTCCCACCGATTCCTGAGCTGCTCAGGGGAACACTGCGGAGGGAGGAGGGACGCAGGCTCTGGCCTCAGTTTTCCCAGCGGTAAAACCCTGCTGCCTCGGGGCAAGTGAGATGTGGGAGGGAAGCCACCCGGGACGCGACTCTGACGGAGGGCAGGAGGGGCCGGGGGTCTGGGACCCCCTCGCCCGCCACCCCCCACGCCCACCTTGCGGACGCCGCTTTCCTCGCCGGCGCCCTGGCCGTCCAGTCTCTCCTCAAGGATCATCGTCGCGCCGCACGGCCGCCGCTCGGACAGCGCTCCGCAGCGGGGCCCGGCAGCCCACACCACCCAGGCCGCGATGCTCCTAGTGCCCACGCCGGTCCGAGACTGTCCCTCCTCCGCCAGGCGGTCTGGCGCGGCTGGGCGGGGCTCGGGCTCAGAGTGCGAAACTAGCTACTGTCCAATCGGCGGTGACGGCCGCTCCGACGGACAGCAACTATGACCAACCAGCACTTGAGGGACGCGGGCCCCCCCCCCCTTGCCAGCTGCTAGCCCCGCCCCACCCGCAGAGTCCCGGGAATTTGGTAACCCCTGGCAACCGCGGCTTAGACGCCTGGCGGCAGGCTGGCAGCGCGCACTGCGCATGCGTCCAGGCCCAGGGCTGCCTCTTGGCTACCGGAGAAAGTTAGGGACAGAGAGGAGGATGCGGCCGGGCAAGGCCCAGCTCCCTTTGCGGGGACTCCAGGAGTTTGCCCGCCGCGCCGTTTTATCCCGTCACCCTGGCAACGGGGACCCTCTAAGAGGATTTTTCCAAAAATGTTTACAATGGGGTTTTTAAACGGTTTTCTGAGAGACGAGCGCTTGTGCGAGTTTAGAACAACGCCCGCTTTCTTCTCTCTGGCGGAGCCCAGCCAGGCTGCCCAGCGCGTCGCGTCTGTCCGGCCTGTCATGTTTCCAGAATCGCTTCCAGAACCTACCTGCCTCCACAGTGTCGATCCAAATAAATGAGGCAAAAATCTCAATCAACAGAGGTTTATTAAGCGAAGATGTTGAGGACGTGCTTGAGACCAACACCAACCACAGACAAGCAGACAAGCCGTGGCTGTTTTTCCCAAGGGGAGGCGGGGACCTTCAGCGTTGCAAAGGCAGCAGAGAGAAGGAAAGGGCAGGGGCAGAAGGGCTGATGAGGTGGTGGTTACATTCCTGTAAGGCCCAAGAAATCCACATTTTACGTAAATTAGGGGAGCGAGGAAGCATCAGTTATGCAGATGTCTCTGGGTAGGTGGAAGATTGTCTGACTCTGTCTTGTCTCCAGTTCTGTTCCCTCTAAGATCAACTTGTAATTCACTCTTAGTGTGGAATCAAACAGGCTTTCGTTTTAGGTGCCAGACAAAGGTACAATTTGCACCTCCTTGCTTGTGGGAGGTCAGCAGGGAGTTTCCTTAATGAATGGTCTGTGGAGCCTGCTTTTCATGGTGCCTGAGGCTTCTACTTTCTCTTTTGCACCATGAGAGGAGGGGTGGCCCTGAGACTTTGAATTTCTTTTTACAAGAACCTGCCTCTGGAACCCACCAGCCTCGGGAACCCTCCTCCTTCCAGAAGCTGCTTCCAGAACCAGAGTGCCTCCAGGACCACCTGCTTGCAGAATTGGACTCTTTCCAAAGCCTGCACTGCTCCCTGCAGGGCCTGCCCAGCAATATGCCTCCTTCAGGTGGTTTCATACCTCTCCAGGTTTCTGATGACTCTGGAACCCACTCAGATTTCACGTGGG